GCTAGAGAGCCTTTTCAAAACGATGACGCTAATCTCTAACGTTTTGAGTAATACTGAGTAAATTGGTTTGAAACTAATCAAATTAACTATCAAACCAATAAAATTTATTATAATTGGATGAAATTAGGATAAAATCTAGTTTTTTCATGCAATTCATCATATAATCCTTCCGTCTCAAAAAGAATATCACTTTTCACTATTTAAAAATTACGGAAATTGTATTTATTTATGCGTTTTCATTGATTATTTGATAAAATAAACTATTATTCTTCTAACTACTTATTTTGTAAAACTTTTGACGTACTTTTTAAAAGAATTAAACATTTTTTTAATTCTATACCAATCTTTAAATAAAATAAATTTAAAAAACTTTAATTGTACTTTGTTTTACGTTATGTAGCATTCTTTCTGAAATGGAGAGAATTTTTTTCATAAGAAAGTTATTTTAATTAGATTATGTAACTTAAAATTGAATTTAGTTTTGTATCTTTAACATAATATCGGATCAAAGACATAATTTTTCATGTCTAATCTCCCCCCCCCCCCAAAGCTCAAAGTCCCCTCCCCTTTTTCTTTTTCATTTTCCCTCTTTAATCTTATTACTTTTCTTACGCCACCATTCAGCTATATTCTCAACTCGGCCAACTCCCACTCACCTTCAACTCTCAGACCTAATTTCTTTCAACTGATGTTTCACCTTGTTTTTGAAATATTTTATTACCTTTAACTTTGTTAATAACAAAATAGTTAGCTCACTTAGCTTTATTCATCCCATATTTTATATGCATAACTTTTGTTCAATTTCTAAACATAATAAATTTAAGGCCCGAGATTTTGTAATTTTTAATTTTAAAAATAATTATCCACTTTATAAGGGAATGAAAAAGTAATGAAATTAGTTCAAATGGAAAAATAAAAGTAAAAATTAAAAAATTCTCCCTCCGTCCACAAATAAACTTTACATTCACTATTCACAGTGTCAAACTTTATTCACTTTGTTGGCTTATTTTCGTCACACATTTGATAAAATAATATAGTCATGTCATCTCTAGTTTTGTAGATCTTTTGATATAGTTTTTTAATATGTAATTTTTATTTTTTAATTCTACACCATTTTTCATATAAAATGATTTGAAAATAACTTCAGTCAAACATCGTAACGCGTAATGTAAAGTTTAATTTTGGACAGAGGGAGTATATAATATGCTTATTGAAAGCCAAACACAATTTCAGATTTTATCAGTTTTAGTTCTAGTCGGTTTCATATCTAATCGGTTTTGAGTTTTACCAATTTTAGGTATTATCGATTTCAGATCTAATCAGTTTTAGATTTATTCGGTTCGGATATAATCGGTTTTGGATCTAATCGATTTCCGATTGAAATCGGATATGAATTATTTAATTCGGTTTGGTTCGATCCAGATCATTTCAAATTTTTGGTTATAGATCGAATCTTCATTTCTCGGATCATTTCAGTTTCGGTTTCAGATAATTTGATTCGGTTAATCAATTTCGGTTCTGTTTTGTCAGGTTTAGTCTTTACTCTCTATCTCGCATTTTTTTAAAAATGAGTAATCATGGCTTTCTACCGTTTTCTTTCTTGAAATTGTCGTGTTTGAAGTACTCCCTCCGTCCTATAATGATCTTCCCAGACCACTATTCCTACTTCACACGAATTTATATTTATTTGTGTTTTTTCATGGCCTATATGATAAAATAAAATATTCTTGTCACCACTTGTTTTGTTGAACTTTTGATGTAGCTTTTAAATATGTATGTTTTATTTTTTATTTCTATACCAATATTTAAATAAAATAGATTAAAAAAACTTAGAATTTTTCTTCGTTTTGCGAACCGGGAAGATCATTATAGGATGGAGGGAGTAGTTTATCATTTCACTCTTCACTTCCAAAGACAAAAATTTGGATCAATTTTGTATGATTGAATAAAAATCTTTCCTAAAAAATCTTTCTGTTTTGATCGATTCTCTTTCATCAAAGAGTAAGATTTCTTTATTGCAAATTATGAAAAAAGTTTGTTTAATTATAATTTAAACTCAATATAATTGATTTCATCTTAGTATATAGTTTTAAAACATCATAATTTTATAAATTTATTTATTTAAATTAGGATTAATTTAAAATCAAAGAGTGTCAATATTTGATTAAAAAAATCAAAACTTGAATACTTTTATAGGAGGGAGGGTGTAGTTTTTAATTTTTTTATAGCTACAAAGCGATGGGGTTTAATGCTCCGTCCCTAAATAAAGTTCATTTTTTCTAAAATGTGAGAATGTGCCCAAATTTGTTCAAATCATGCTCCGTCCCTAAATAAAGTTCCTCTTTCATTTTTTCTTTGTCCCTAAATAAACTTCTTTTTTTCCTTAAAAAACCCCTTTTACCCCTTACTTTTTCATATCCTACCTATCACATCATACCTTTTTACTAATAATCTACCTATCACATATTAGTTTAACACATCACATCAAGGGGTCTCCTCCCCTCCACGTTTTTAAACCAAACAAGGGGAGAGATTTTGATTCCTTCCGATCCCTTCCCCTAGCACAACGGTTAGATAGGAGTGTCACAAGCGAGAGATCCCGAGTTCGAAGTCTGATGGCTACGATGAGAGGCAACCATGCAAAAGTGTTGATCCCCTGATGGTTGATCAATCACAGCTTAGGTGATTTATCCCCTGACGATTCCTACGCGTTATAGGGTCTTTTTGGCACATTTTTGAACATACTCCGATGTCGATGACTCTTGGATCTCAAGTTGAGCGTTTTATCAAGACTATCAGTATGACTAACATAGAATGACATGTAGGTATAGGAAATCATGTATTATAAATGATTCTAAGGAATCTAACGTCAGAATGAGTTTGGGGTACAGACCTTAGATTTTGTAGCGGAATGCAATGATCTTAACACCTCACGTACGGTCAACGAACGAACGTCACTATCTACTTCTAGTTTTCCTTATCTTGATATCGTCTCTTCAAACCTTGGTATCTGCAGTTTTGCGGTTTTGACACACTCGTCTCCTTCATGAGTAGTATCAAGGATCTCCCATGCTTTCTTGGCTTGAGTACAGTTTGATATAAGTTTGTACTGCGAGCTATCCACTGCACCAAATAGAGAATTAAGAGCTTTATAATTGCATTCAGCTACAGGGTATATTTTTCAAAATCCTTGACCACTTTCTCAGTTCCCTCAGTGTTAGTCTCCGTAGGTTCAGTCCAACCGGTTTTGACACTTCTCCACACTCTGCCACCTTGAGATTTTAGGAATGCTCTCATGCATCCTTCCCAGAAAATTTAATTTGGTCCACGCAACAAGGGTCACTACTAAAAAAATTGCAAACAGAGGGAGACAAGTTCACCTCTAATTGTACAGAATCCGCCTCTAATTAAGATTTAGAGTGGAATTAGAGGCGAACTCACTTCTGCCGCTAAAAACACTGCTGCTATTTTTAGAGGCGGAAAAGTCCGCCTCAAAATTAGATGCGGAAATGTCCGCCTCTAAATTAGAGGCGGAAAAGTCCGCCTTTAATTCAATTTTTTTTGAAATAAATATCAAAATTTTATTTCTATAGCTGTTTTTAATTTAGCTTTAATTTCCCAGTTATACAATTAAAATTTATTTCAATTAGCTACGAAATTAGCGGCAGAAATGTTACCCACTAATGAAAATTTCAAACAGAGAGTGAATATTCCCATGATATTCTGCAGCTAATTAGAGGCAGAATTATCCCCCACTATTTTTTTTGCAGCTTATACACGAGATTCTAGTAGTGGGTGGTCGTTGGACATTTGCACCTTCCTCCATTTCACCCATGATTGATTAAAGCTAGTAAATTAAGCTCAACCGCTCCGATACTAATTGAAAGTTGTGGAGGGTACAACAAAAAACACCAACCAGATAATCTAAGCAAAATCACAGAACCAGAAGACAAACAGAGTGCCACAACACTTTCTCAGTCATTGATGCATATGCAGAAAGCAACATAAAGGCAGTAAAGAAAACACAAAAGTTTTTTACGCAGTTCAGAGCATCGTCTCTCCTACATCTGCGGGGCCCATGTCCGTGTAATAGCCCTTCCACTAAATCATCATAAAGATTACACCTTCAATTACAATAGATTTGATCTAGTGTATTGACTTAATTTACTTACGGATGACTTGACGACAAACTTTGTTTGTGTCACCTTCTACGGATGGTTACAACAGCTTTGATAACTCCGTTTAATGGACGTGCTATCAACCCTTCTCCAGCAGTTTGTAGATCAACAGCTTGACATGGAGTACTACTTCTTATTCATTATAGAGCTTCTGATCTGCAGCAAGGATTTTGAGGCTTGTTATACATCAAAGCCTGTATATATAAGGAGAGACTTGCTAACCCTAGTGGAGTCTTAATAGGACTTGACGAGATCAGAGTGGAGTCTTAAGAGGACCTGATGAGATCAGAGTGGAGCCTTAAGAGGACTTGATGAGATCGGATGCTTCCTTCCCAAGGCATACCACCAGCATAGACTATCCAAGCAGCCATTGGTTGTGGCCCAGGAAGAGTTATTTATATTCTAACACGCCCCCTCACGTGCAAGCGTAGTTTTTTTCGAGCCTTGCACGTGAAACTATAATTTTCTTAAAACTGGGTGGCGCTGAGTTTCGAACATGTGATCTCTTAGCCAACAAGGCTTCGATACCATGTCAAGGAACCATCTCAACCAAAAGATCAAGCTTGTGGTTGTGGCCTACGAAGAAATATTTATATTCTAACACTAAACCTCTCATCTAATCAATTACAATTCCCGATACAAAACCGACTCATTGAGACAACGTACATAACTTGGAATTCAAAACAAAACACTTTAAATTACCTTGTCGTATTTTCAAAAGAATTTCATTCAATTCAATTCAAAGATGCATATCATGCATGACAATGAAAGTGTGATACAAACCAACCAACCAACAAACAAACAAAAAATTCATACAAATATTTAGAATATGCTAGTTTACAAATACTTTGAATTTGCTTGAGCAAATCAACATTTCCTTCACTCGAACAAAAACCAAACGCCATCTCCATTGCCCACTTTTATTATTATTAGGAGTAATATGTTTTGTGCATCTGCCCAAACGTAAGTTGTCTCCCCAGCTCGATCCTGCTATACAAATTAACTATGTGAACCGGGTCGGGTTGCTGTTTTATTAACATAAGGGCAGATCGTTAGGTGGTGGCAGAATGCTGTGGTCAGGACCCTTTCCATTGTCCACTAGGAATGCCATCTTTAATCCCCATGTCGTGTGCACCTCTAAGTGGCAGTGCATGAACCACACTCCTGCATGTATGTATATACGCACCACATTGTTTAACGTTTTCAAAACTCAAACGCTAATAAAAATTAAAAATATTTCTCGGTCTGAAAAATTACTTCTTCCGCATCACAAAATTTTTTCTATTTTGATTTTATTTTTGTCAATCAGTGATATTCTTAGAGCATAAATCTCAAAAAAAATATATTTGATTTTAATTAAATTCAATATAATTGAGTTCATCTTAGCATATAGTTTTTGTATATCAAATTTTTATACTCCCTCCGTCCAAAAATAATCTTCCTAGCTGTTGCGTGTTACGGTATTTAACTGAAATTATTTTCAAATTATTTTATATGAAAAATGGTGTAGAATTAATAAAAATATAAAAATTACATATTTAAAAACTAAACCAAAAAATCTACAAAACTAGAGTGACATGACTATATTATTCTTTTTAAGTGTGCATCAAAAGTTGAGCTACAAATTGAATAAAATTTGACTATATGAATAGTAAATATCAATATTATTTTTAGGCGGAGATAGTAACATTTATTTATTCAAATTATATTTAATATTTTAATTAAAGAATATCTGACAAAAAAAGTAAAAACAATAAAGGATATGTGGGATAAGGAGTAGGTTAATGACAATGAAGGATATTAACGTTATAAATTTAAGATACATCATGAGGTAGGATCCGTACCTGGATTGTCAGCACGAAATCTAATGGCAACCCAACCGCCGGCCGGAACTCCGATGGTGTTCCTCTCTACGGGATCGACGAGATTGAACTTCTTAGGATCCCTCTTGGGGTTGAAATTCCCCAATCCTTTCCCAACGACGAAGAAGTTGAATCCGTGCAAGTGCACCGGGTGGTTTTCCGGCACAATAATCCCGGTGTCCTGTAAAACCAGTTGAACTGTCTCATTGTACCCCAGCCTGTAAACCCTCGTCCCCTTCGAAGTCTGGAGGTTTGCCGGGCCAGCACCGGTGTAGTTGAAAGCGACCGGCGGATTCCCCGGGAAATCCGCGGTAAACACTCCGTTTATCCCGTAGAAGTGTGCCTGCAGAAGCGCCGTGGTCGGCATGACGAACGTGACGTTGTTGATGGACGCGACGACACGGGTCCCGTTTGCGGGCGTGCAGGACGGGCACGGGTTGATCCCGAGACCGACCGTGAAGAGGAGAGAATGGTCGATCGTCCGCGGGACGTTCGCAGGGAACTCCTCGGAGTTGATGCTCCTCAGAGCATCAACGAAACGGTTCGCCACTGCGGTGGCGTTTTTCGGGGGCGTGGAAGTGCGGGTTGTGGGGCCGGCGGTGAGGGTGCCGGCGTAGTGGATGGTCGCGATGGCGGTCTGGTTGTCGATGGCGATGGGAGCGTCCATGAAGGTGGAGGCGGCCACCATGTACTGGCCAGAGCGCTTGTCGGCGGTGAGGATGACGTTGGCGGTCTGCCCGGGGGCAACCATGACGGTGTCGGTTTTGAAGGGCTTAACGTAGGAGGCATCCACCTCCACAACGGTCAGCAGGTGGCCTGCAATCTTGAGAAAGAGCTCTTCATTGAGGGCAGCGTTGATTATCCTTAGCAAGTAGCTCTTCCCAGCTTCAACGCTTAGCTTATATCCAACTGTGTGTTTAGAAATTATGGGTTCAAAAATCATTACAATATATTCCCTCCGTCCCTAAACAAACTTTTTCTTTTATTTTTTCTTTGTCCACAAATAAACTTCTCTTTCCACTTAAAAAAACCTCTTTTACACCTTACTTTTTCATACCCTACCAATCACATCATACCTTTTTACTAATAATCTACATATCACATCTTATTTTTACACATTAAATCAAGAGTATTTTTGTAAAGTCAATAGAAAAATATTCCTTCTTTAAATTCTCAACAAGTCAAAAATGAAAGTTTATTTAGGGACGGAGGGAGTATAATTTATTTAATTATAAGTCAAAGTGTTACTCCCTCCATTTGCAAAAAGACTTCCCATTTTGATTTGGCGCAAAAATAAGGAAGTGTTAAATTATAGTTGATTTCCAATTTTGCCTCTGATGTGATGGGCAAAAGTAAGATGTGATGGATAGATTATTAGAGAAAAAAATATGATGTGATAGGTAGGGTATGAAAAAGTAAGGGTAAAAATTGAAAAGAAAATTATTTTGTTGGAAGTGGAAAAAATGAAAGAGTACGTATAACTTTTCAATTAGCGTACGTACAAATAAACGTCGTACCTTGTGCTGGGCAATTTGAGACAGGTCCAGGATGACCATTGATAGTATGGGCATCGGAAACATTGGGAGCTAACCCTGATTTCAGTGCTTCATTGATCACAGCCTCAGTATCAGATTTCCACCACTCAGCTGCATTAAATTCAATATAATATAATATACTCCGTATATAATTGGGATTAATAATAGTAATAATTAAACATGAATGATACATATGACAAAATTTTATTAAGTAGTGCCAACTTGATTATTGTCCCTTTTGACTTTAATTTTAGATCCAAATAAATAAATTTTAACTTTAAATTAAATAGAAATGATATTCCTTCTTATAATTTATATACTTTTTCTTTCATTTTTTCTTTTTCACCAAAAAAAATTCTTCTTTCTATTAAAAAACTATTTTATCCGTATTAATTTGTAACTTACCTAATACATATCACATTATATTTTTATTATTAATAATCTACCCATCATATCGTTTTTTTACCAGATCATGAGTAAAATTGGAAAGTTAATTACAAATAAACATCTTTCATTTGTCTTATTGGTCAAAATAGGAGTGGTTTTGGTGAACAAAGAAAGTATTAAATATTAATACAAAAATAATTTTATTAGATTTATTATATTCCGTTCCTGAAAACCTTTCTCCTTTCTTTCTTCGCCCGTCCCAACACTTCTTATTTGTATTAAAAAGTCACTTTTACTCCTTACTTTTTCATACCTTACCTATCACATCATACCTTTTTACTAATAAGAAATATTTGCACTAAATAAAACTAAAACTTAAATCATTTCCCTAAATAGCACTTAAATCATTTTATTCCTTAAATAGCACTTCATAATGTCTATAATGTCCAGTGATGACCAATATTTACTTGAATAATGACTAATGGAAAATGGCTAAAAGTGCTAGATTGGGAAAAAACACATGTGATGCTATTTAGGGAAAGTCATTATGTTTTAGTACTATTTACGTAAATTCCCCTACTAATAATCTACCTATCAAATCCTACTTTTACCCATCACATCAAACGATATTTTTGGAAATTCAATACAAAAATACACTCCCCTTAAATCTCTTCAAAATCAAAACATCCATGTTTAAAGGGACGGAGGCAGTAGAATATTTTCCAAAAAAAATATTTTTTCTAATTAATACACAGTATACAATAAATATTTTATTTAATTATAAGTCAAATGTTAAAAATAATAGAGTTAAAAATGTCAAAATGGATGGATTGTAAAGGATGGAAGTGGTAGGATAAGTAAATGAGAAATTTACCTAAATAGGACTAAAACATAATCACTTTCCCAATATAGGACCATATATTTTTACTTCCCAATGTAGGACCTTTGGTCATTATTAATTAGTCATTATTCAAGTAAATGTCCATCATTACTGAACATTATTCCTCCAACTATACATTATTAAGTCCTATTTAGAGAATAAAAAAGTTGAAGTCCTACATTGAGAAATGACTTACTCCCTCCGTCCCTAAATAAACTTTCCTTTTTGATTTTTTGAAGATTTAAGGGAGAGATATTTTTGTGTTGACTTTTCAAAAATGCCCTTGATGTGATGTGTAAAAGTAAGATGTGATATGTAGATTATTAGTAAAAATGTATGATGTGATAGGTAAGGTATGAAAAAGTAAGGGGTAAAAGGGGTTTTTTAAGGGAAAAGAAAAATTTATTTGGGGACAAAGAAAAAACGAAAGGGGAAGTTTATTTAGAGACGGATAGAGTATGTTTTAATCTTATTTAGTGCAAATAATGTTGAATTGTTGCATACATACCCAACAATAGAACCGTTTCGTGGTCCGGTTTAGGGAAAGGGTAAGAGACGCCCAGCTTAGGCAGTATGACCAATGCGCCATGGACCGTTGACCTTAGCCACAGCACATGTGCGTGCCAAAATAGTGTGCCCCTTTGCCCTGTCACGGTGAAGTTGTACACATAGCTGTGCCCCGGTCTGATCGGGCACTGCGTTATGTACGCCGGCCCGTCTGCCCAACCTGTTCGCCCATGCCTGCATCCACTTACGAATACTCATCAAGTCATCTTATGAACGTCACGCACAATCATACAAATATTTAATATCTTTAATACTTCTTCCGTCTCAAAAACTTATTTTCTTTTCTTTTTTTCTTGTCCCACAAAATCTTTATCTCTATTAATTCTTAATCTATCTATCACATTATACATTTTTATTAATAATCTATCCACCACATCCTATTTTTACCTATTATATTACATCAAAAGTATTTTTAGAAAGGGGCAAGATTCCCATGACATTGGGAACCAATGTCATGGGAACCAAGGTGTTTAGAAAGTTAACACAAAATAATTTCTCCCTCAAATTTCCTAAAAGTTAAAACAAGAACATTTGTATGGGACGGAGGAAGTATTAAACTGATTAATAGGTAGTGAGTGAGCGATGTTTAATTTTTAATATGTGCAAGAACTTCATATTATGCATGAATATGTTTTATCCTTGTTAATTATAATGTTCACACAAAAATTAGGTGCATCATGACAAGTGGGGGATTAGGTGATTTAAAAAAAAGAATACACTACTTGCATCCTAGTGTATTTGTACGACTCGGCCTTTTCGAATCAAACTAGATATATAAAATTTGATATTCAATTACTCTCAATTTATATTATATATAATAAAATAAAATTTTGAAAGTTCTCAGCAAGAAAAAAATTATTAAAATCATTTTTTATTTATACACATTATAATTTTGTTTAATTGAAGCTAAAAGTTTATTATCATGTTTGACTCAAAAAAACTAACTCGACAAGAAGAAGTAATTACCGTACCAGTGAATAGAGATGTTGTATTTGACATGATTGACGACCCTGATAAGCACGGTGTCGTCTTCCCTAGCGTAGATGGTGGGCCCGGGGAACTCTCCGTTGACCGTGACGACGGATTTCGATGAACACAAACGAGTCATGTTCTTCATCACCACCTAATAATTTGTTAAAAGCATATTTTATTTCATTTAATTTTGTGGGTATAGAAATGTAGAATATAAGAAGTACTTGATAACATAAAAGTACTCGTAGTAGTTAGTACTAACTCCTCTAGGAACCAAGAATAAACACTGGAGTATAAAATATATTCACGTAACAATCAACTAATAATCATTGATGACATTGCATTCGTAAGGGAAAAGATTAATAATTACGTGATTAGAACGCCCAATGTTGGGCTCCCTCTACTCTAACGCGACCGCTTAACGAACAAATTGAAGGACGTACAAACTAACTCTTCCATATTACAGAATATTTTTTTAAGTATGACTACATCCTTTCCAAATCTTTGTTCTCATTTCATTTTTCGCGATGTAACATTTTAATTATTAATATCTATACTTTTATATATATTCACAGATTACAAAAGTATGAAATTTCAGAAGCACGTGTTGAATTGAATTGTTAAATATATTGATACTAATTATTACATTTATTTTAAAATTCAATATATTTTTACCATAATTAATGATCAAAGTTAAAAAAATCATTGTAAATGTCAAAATGAGAAGAGAGATGTGGGACAAAAAATAATACTCCCTCCGTCCCGTGAAACATGGGACATTTGCTTTTTAGGAGGAATTTAAGGGAGTGTATTTTGGTATTGAATTTCCAAAAATGTCCTTTGATGTGATGGGTAAAAGTATGATTTGATGGATATATTATTAGTAAAAAGGTATGATGTGATAGTTAGGGTATGAAAAGGTAAGGGGTAAAAGTGATTTTTTAATAGAAATGAGAAGTGTTTTGTGGGACGGATAAAAAAAGAAAGGGGAAATGTTTCACGGGACGGAGGGAGTAATTTTATTGCAATCTACTCCGTAGACAGTAATATCTATCTTAGTATAAAACATGACGAATTTTTTAAAAATGCAGAGGAGAATGTACGTTTATTATGGAGTATAATTATTTCTTAAATTTTTTATTTAATTCTTCATCAACTAATCTTGTACTCCGTACTTCAAATTAGGCATAATTCCCCTGCTCAACGGTCAAGAGCTACATGAATTTGATGTTCCCCATTAATTAGAAACTGTGACTTTTCAAAACAAAAAAAAAAGAATTGTGACCATTTCACCTTTGTACTGATGTAGCTAGACCTATGTGCTAGGATCAATGGTTAGCAAAACTGTTTTTCGTTAATTTTACTTTAATAATTATCCAATTTTACTTTTTCAAGTAAAGATGGATAAACTTTAACCATTAATCACTCTCAATTGTATTGCATATTCTTACAACAAAATAAGTATTGAAAGTTTCAACAACATAAATTTAATAAAAGAATCATTTTTATGGTGATATAAATTTTAATTTTTGATTAAATGAGGTCCGAAATTCATCTACTTTGACTCGAAAAAGTCAAATAAGACGAAGGAGGCACATAGTTTTAAATTAAGTTTTCTGCTTTTTGCAATCCTTGTAATATACTCCTTTCGTCCCAAAAAGTCTTTCCTGTTTCATTTTTTGTGCATCTCATAAAACACTTATATCCCGTCTTGAATGCAAAAATAACTTTCAAAATAACTTCTACCCACAATAAAGAAGAAATGTTGTAAATTTTAGGCATTTTAAATGTCAGGAGAAGTGTTTTATGGGATGCGCAAAAAATGAAACAGGAAAGACTTTTTGGGACGGAGGGAGTAAGTCATTTCCCAATGTAGTACTAAAACTTTTTTATTCTCTAAATAGGAATTAATAATGACTAGTGAAAAGAATAATGTCCAAGTGATGCTGGACATTTAGTTGAATAATGACTAATAGATAATGGCCAATGGTCCTACATTGGAAAATAAAAACATATGATCCTATATTGAGAAAGTCATTATGTTTTAGTTCTATTTAGGTAAATTACTCTATATAATACAAATTCCGTCCCTGAGTATTTGTCAAGTTTTGAATTTTTGCAATCAGTCATTTTTGGTGTTTGACCTATAATTAAGTATAACATAAATTATATATTAATTTGATAATCTAATATTTTAAGAAGATTTTATATAATGAATGTAATGAAATTATTTTATATTAATATATAATGCAACTTTTAATTAATTTGTGATCAAAATTTGCCAATTTTAACTAAAAAAGTTAAATGCGGATAAATACACTATAATAGGTGTCTTTTCCATGAATGGTCCTATCCTAACATTCCCGTTAAAAATATAGATAAAATTGCAAACTCATACTCCTCTCTCTCCTCCATTAAGCTTCGTCCCTCCTCTCGTACTCCTTCCTTGGCCAAACCCATCGTTGAGTTTGAAGCTCTAAATCCAAAACTGAAACCATCACTCTTTTTTAATTGTTCGTCTTCCTGATGGAACGCAAAATTAAAACCAGTAACCTTCATGGATGAGTTTCAAGGTTTGTTTTCGTTATAATTTTTGGAGGCTAACCCATGAAACTCATCTATGTAGGTTATCAAGTTCGATTTTAGATTCCTGCAGGAAGGCGAACAATTGAGATAGGAGTGATGGTTTCAATTTTGGGTTCATAGCTTCAAACTCAGCGACGGGTTTGGGAAGGAGTACGAGAGGAGGGAAGAAACTTAATTAATTGAGGAGAGAGAAAAGTGCAAACTTACAATTTTTCCATGTTTTTAACGGGTATGTGAACAGAAGATCATTCGTGGATAACAATATAATAATTGAGAACTAAATTATTGATATTTGATATGTGAGAATTAAATATGAAAAACAACTGGAGACTAATTTACCGAAATGTATACTTCACTACTTAGCATATACGGAATATATTACGCATGTATGTCACTTAATAGTTTGTATGCAATGTTTAACTAGCAGTTAAATCTTTTTTAAATTCTTCTTAGTAGCTTAATGCTGGCAATTACAGTATGACTAAACTAATAACTTCAAAATGTTATTTTCAAAATGCATGACCTATAATCCACAATTTTCAAGTTCGCATTTTAATTTGTTCAAGATGATAGTACTCGGCATTAATTTAAAATTCTAGATTGCCAAACAACTCGAACAGCATTTTTAACGAGTCAAAACGTTGTTTACCAAACACACCTATACCATTTGTTTTTACACATTAAATGGTACATGGTGCATTGATTGCATGCATGGGTGGGTGTCATAGTGCTACGTACGAAAAACCCTATGTACTTAAAGATTATATTGCGCACTACGACTTCATCCTTACCTTGTCTCGAAATAAATTTAGGGTTTAAAACAATTTATTGAAAAATATAATATAAATGATTAAATTTTAAATAAATGTGAGAGAAAATTTATGACTAGTATCTCCGTATTTAATTATTTGTCCAAATTTGTTTTTTTTACAATCAAAATTAATAAAATTTGACCACTAATTAAATAAAATTGATAACAGATATTGATACACATTTTTTACAAGATTTGTTTTATATAATATTTTTGAAATATTTTGTATCTAATCAATATATCATACGGAGTATGTTTTTTTAAAAGATATATATATTTTATTTAAGTATATATCAAAAGTTAAAAGTGGTTGACTATAAAAAGTTGTTCAAGAACGAAGGTAGTAATATATTTCATTTCAAAATAGAAAAAAAAAGAAAAAAGAAATGTATAGAGAATGAGATTTATCCCGAAAAAAACAAATAAAAAAGTGTAAAGTTTATTTTGGGATGCATTAGGCATAGAGCAATTAATTAATTATGGGGTATACTCTGTATGATTAAGTATATATCAACGTTGGAAACATTGGAAAGTAAGCTTTTACTTACATCAAACTTATAGTGTCGAACCCGGCATTCAACAATTGCCGGAAACAGGCAGGGAGGGAGGACGACGACGATGAAAAGCACGATCCGAGACCAAAAACACGCCGCCATACTTGCATACTATGTTTTTTTATATTTAAATTTGTACTCTTTATATATGATGTGTCTTATAGCAGCAATGCAATAAGAATAAAATCTAGGAGCATGTAAGTACGTATAGTAAATATATATAATGGGGTATGGGATAATATATAATGGGCAACAACATATGTGTAGTATATATATAAAAGCCAGCCAGCCAGGTAGCCCTCTGCTACCCAGTCGTTTTTGTTGGTTAGGTGAGACGTGTTGGGGCTTGGATTGGGTCGAGGTTCCCATTTCGATCTCACCCTTTGTTTCGAAATCAACTTCCATCAACAAAACCACTACTACTACTATAATACCATACCCATCTCCTTCAATTCATATTAGGTAATTCCATCCTAATCGTTTCTTGCATGTTACATTAAGATAGCTGGCATACTTCTTTTCCATCTTTGTGTCCCACTACTTTTAATTACTCTCTAGCTAAGTTATCTACTTCCAATCTTCCATAAAATATTTTATGACAAATTATTACTTGGTTTTAAAATTTATGTTCATTTTATAGAATTTATTATATTGATATCATAAAAGATTTGAGTCTTTTTTTTTTAAAAAAAGGATTCATTTGTCCGCCCATGAAAAGCGTGAAAAAATAATATTTCATTTAAGTGTACATTAAGACCAAGGAAGAACAACTCACATTTCACAGATGAAAAAAGTTGCTCCCAAAAATGGATAATTTTGATACTATTTGTTAATTATAACTCATCTATCCTACACATCATGATATCCTAGCTACCTTATTGTAAAGTAATGACACAATTAAAAAATAATATCAAATTTATACTCCCTTCATTTTTTTCAAAACAGTTCTTCTTTCATTTTTTTCGTTTGCAACAAACACTTTCATCTACCCATCACTTTCTAAACTTCTCTCTCCACCCCATAAATAGCCCCTCTTAGGAAGAGAGAATTGTAGAATTTGTGAAAAACTGAACTGCCTTCCATTGAATATGTTGCCAAGTATAAATACAAGTGTGTTGGGCTTTAGACTCGGCCCGATAACATACAAGGAAATCAAGATATATACTAGGATACAATTTACATAAATGGAAACATTACTATATATATATATATATATATATATATATATATATATATATATATATATATATATATATATATATATATATATATATATATATAT